ATTCAGATGCATTTTGAAATAAATAAAATGTAACTGAATCACTTTTGTTTATTTGAAAGATGAAATCAAATATGGATTTTGAGTATTCACATACTATGTTTTTAGAGAGTTTTTGTTATCTCCTAAGGTACTCAGTTGGTGCTCCCACATCATTAAAAAGGTAGAAAATGCATTTTCTGATTAGTCTTGTCTAATACATATTAAAATGCATAGCTGTTACGTTTATAAGCTGCCAAGTAGCTAGGTTTTCTGAGTAGCTAGGTTTTATGCAAATTATTCTAATAGGAGCAGATAAGTCTTTCATATCAAAATTAATAAAGATGGACTGCCTTAAGCATCTATTGGAAACTGTGACTCAGGACACCAAGGACGGTAGTAAATTGTAGTTAACACAGAGTAAAGATATTATTTTGGGGCAAGTTATTTATTACTTCTGCCCCCAAAACTTTCATGCTCCATTGACTTATCATTTGTTAGAAATCCAGTATTTGTGGAGAAGAGAAAAGCTATCCTGTTTCCTCCTTCTGCCTAAGAAACTAAAATATTTCATGAATATATATATATATTCTTAAAGATTAAAGGGAATATCATAAATATGAACCAGAAGGTGCATTTTTATGATACCATTATTGATTCTTCATGCATAGATAGAAGAGACAAGAACCCTTGAGATTATTCATAATTATAGGATTGATCCAGAGACCCTGGTGCACTTTCCTGGCATAACTGAAGAAAGAGCTTAATATAAAATATGGGGCAAGGGCTTCACAAAAGATTGGAGTAGTAGGATAGGAAGCCCAGTCTTTCTGGTAAATGGTTATCTTCTGATTGACTTTATCAATTTGTCTTTTGGTAAAGGAGTAATTTTTGGCTGGCAAGCATTTTAGGAATAGGCCATCCTTCCATATAAAACATTTTAAAAATTGTCCTATCCCAGTATGTCCTCTAAATCTAGATCTGCCCAGCTCATTGCAAAAAACAAAATAAAAAAATGCATCTACAGCATTTACTCTAGAAAACAAGAGCCAGAATTCTACAAAGTGCTTTTTCCATACTCAAATTTTCAGCTTCATGTCTCCCACGCCTAAACCAGATGGAAATGTGGCAAGCTTTAGAAATCTTTTTTTTTTTCAATTCTTCCCCTCTCTCCGTGATGACCAAATGTTCTGTCCACACCACATTACCAATGTCATGACTGGTGGATTTCTCTACCTCTTTCATTTGAGCTATCAAAGCAAATACCAACCGTAGTCCTTTCAGTAAGCAAGTATTTTAAGGAGGTCCAGAGGGGAAAAAGGGACAAAAGTTTTCCTGTCACTTAGACCAGAAGAGGAAACTCAGCAGAGTGCTTGTCACTTGTACCCTTTAAAAAAAAAAGTCAGACATTTCAGGATTCGTTAAAAAAAGAAAATGGGGGCCAATTTCTATATCATGGCCGAGACTATAAAACAACAGGGCAGGACGAGAAGCAATGGGTGGAAACTAATCAAGAGGAGAAGCAACTTAGAACCAAGGAAATATTTCCTGACAAACCAATTAATCAGTGGAACAACTTGCTTCGAGAAGTTGGGAATGCTGCAACACTGGAAGTTTTTAAGAAGAGATTGGATAACCATTTGTCTGAAATGGTGTAGGTTTTCCTGCCTAAGCAGGAGGTTGGACTAGAAGACCTCCAAAGTCCCTTCCAACTCTGTTATTCTATTCTATTCTAACACAGCAAAACAAAAGATCCAGAAGTACAAAATGGATGTTGAGGGCAAGCAAGAAGGACCATAGGACATGTCTACCAAAACAGATGACAGCCTATTGGAATGGAGGCATGGGATTTGTGAATCAGGGCAGATGGAGCAAGCTACCCATCTTACACCAGGGAGAGGGAAGAACATCCTTTTGATGTGGACCATGAATCTCCAGAGAGGTCATCTTCACAGTAGCATAAAGGTAGATTTATGAGGACATCATCTGTTCCCACTCTTCCAAAATGATCTGTTCATAGTGAGGCAAACAGAAAGTAACTGGTATGTTGTTATTTTTTGTTTTGTTTTGTTTTACCATGGAGAGTAATATTCTTCAAATATCTTGCCCATATTCATATAACCGGCCTTGTTTATTTCACAATTTGTTTTTATGAATTTGCTTTTTTGCTTCAAGCCACAGAAGTTAATGAATTCTGCTAGACTTTAGGCAATGTATCAGAGTATGTTACAGGTAAACTTCACATAATTTTTACTCTACTCTTTGAGAGAGAAAAGGAGGGGCCATAAAACAGAAATAAAAATATTGAAGCTACTATAATTTCTTTATGTCCTTTATGTGCTTTGTTGATGAAAACTAATACGAGCTTTAGTGGTTCTTTCAAGTCTCAAGCATCACAAGCTGAACTGTAGCCCATCTTGGGTTGAGAATAAAATGGTTTGATTTAACTATAAGCTAGGCTGGGAACTAAAGCTGTAACTCAGAAAGTTTATGAATTCAGTCATTCAAAATCATTTGTCATTACATATAAGATAACTTAGGGTTTATATCTATCTATCTATCTATCTATCTATCTATCTATCTATCTATCTATCTATCTATCTATCTATCTATCTATCTATCTATCTATC